TGCTAAACAATCTCGTCTAAAACACAACTAATTCAACTTGCCACTTAACTCATTTAAATGTTAATATAGTTGCTAACTAGCAAATGCACAAATGTCAATAACATAGAATTACAACCAAATCATCAACACTATTTACATTGAGACTAATGAAACTTAATATCAATCCTACATCTCATCATACACTCTTAACATCTAGATCATTTTACTCACTTTTATCAATGTGAATGCTTAGGATATAGGAATAGATAAGTGGGTTAACTTCAAATGTGAGATATTGGTGGAATATATTCCTCAACCAACTATCAATTACACAATATTAATTTATATTTTTGCAACAATAAACATTTTATATATATATTTCAATATATGAGTGCTCAGGATATAGGAATATGTATATTAAATGGATCCTTACTTATATACAAGAATTAATAAACTAAATTCAATCCCAAATAGACAATTTATATGTTATATTAGGTAAAGTTTTATATACATATATATCTGTGTGTGTGTGTGTGTGTGTGTATCTATATATATACACATACATATATATCTATGTATTTATAGACTTTACAAAGGCAAAATCAAAGGTACAAAAATGTAATTTTTTCTTTTCAAGCCAATACAAGATGGGAGAAAATGCAAGGGTAGTCTCTCTATATTTATACAAATGAGTTCACCATTTTCTTTTATTGCAAATTCTTACAATGAATGGAGTTGCAAATGCCCAAAATAGCTCCATGCCTCCTTGGTGGTAGGACGTGTGGACCCAAACCATTGGAACACAAACAAGGAAGTCTCACATTCTATTTATCTATATCTATTTGGGTTATATGCTACTTTTGAGAGTTTTGTGGTGCCAACATGAGACTGAACTAAGGCATGCAAAAATGTAATTTTGATTATCCATGCTGTGTTTGCCAGATCTTCTCTTTTGTGGTCATTCTAGATCTACAATTACTCTAGGAGTGGCAGAAGCAGCAGAAGATAGAGAGAGTACTCAGTAGCAGTGAGTGAGTACTTGGAGGAGAAGATTTTATTGAGGAGTTTTTCCAGAAAATAAACAAGACTAACTAATCAAAATCATCATTATATATAATCTTATAAGGTGAGGGTATCAATCCCCTTACCTATTGTATGTGAAGTAATCACACACCCCTTTTTAACACACTACTGAGTGATTAAGAAAACTTAGTAAATAGTTGGCTTAT